ACAAGCGATCATATTTATTAACCTCATTTTTTTACGTATGTTTAATTATTAATTATTTCAGTGTTTATGTATATTCTAACTAATTAGTACTAAATTCATTAATGTGATATTGAACAAATTAAATAATTTGTGATTAAGATGTTTCCTTATTTGTTACTTTGTCACATGATTCAGTTTCCTTTGGTTTCTGCATAGAATAGTTTTCATGCCTTGCATGTGTTATTGTTAAATGCATTCATCAAATTCATTCTTTAATTCTCTTTCAACCGATTTTATGAGGATGCCAATTCGATTTTTTCAGGTATAAGTTTCAAGTTTTTTTTTCTGGCCATAAATTTTTAGAAACCGTTGAGGTTTTAGATTATCGGCTCATAACTGTATCCGTTATAATAACACAAATCCTATACTCTCGAACATGGAGTATTATGCTAAATTTGTGTTTATCGATATATGATAGACAAGAATCGTGATACCTATAGTGCAATCAATTGTACAAAAAACAAGAACAAACACTTTACAATCTTGGACACATTTTCTTACGTCAAGTAATTTTGATACTATCTAATAACCAACTCATCGTGTTAAAAGAAAGGACAAACTCTGTAGGATTAGTCGCTGTTACATTTATTGCCTGGTGGTAAAATAAGAAAATATGATATTCTGAGCCCTATTTATTATGTTTTGTGAATGACACTCCATTAATGTAGTAAATAAAGGTCCCCTCTTGTTCCTACTCTAAGCTTTATCAATGTGAATCTGTGATTAGCTGTGAGAACAAGATCATACGAATTGGTTTCAGGATCAATACCACTACTTGTTGGGTTGTGAAAGCCCATGTCCAACTCTATATTTTCTTGTTAGTACGATATTATCCACTTTGGGCCTGATAGACAAGCCCGCATGGATTTACTTTTGGTTTCCATCCCAAAAGGCCTCGTACTAATAGAGTTGGACTTCTCTTTATATATTAGACACTCCTTGTCTAATTCTCCAATGTGGGACTTAGTTTGTTATCTCACATTCTCCCCCTCAAACTAAGGATCACATTCATCTCGTGTCCCACAACTGATTTCCAGGATCTTCTGATTTGATTTCTGCCACTGACCTCTCATTCCTAACTCATAGGATACCCACTCATCTCTCGAAGGGTATTTTGGTCTTCTTGCAGATTTCTCGTCAACCGCTCTGATACCAATTGTTAGGAATTCTCGATTGCAAATAAGGAGTCCGAGCAGAATCGCAAAGAAGACAGATAATGGGACCTATCTATTCTTCGAGAAAGCTGCGATCCATCATCTCCAAGTTTTAGGGTCGAACGATCAAAGGTAACGTGTCTTTGCTTAGGGAAGTACAAGGTGTTGATGCAATAACATTCATCTCAAAGGAAGTCGAGCAAACTTTTGTATCGATAGTCTTCTTAACAAGGTTAAAGTTAAGCGGCGTGTTCCATTCTTCGTGATGGCGGTATGAAGTGTTCAAGGCTGATCTATCGAAATAGATGAGGTTGTTACTACCTATATTTCAAGGGATTTTAGATCAAGGTGGAGATGATGTTAAAGCTTCAAGTTATGGTTCAAAAGGTGGTGGTGTTTCGTGATCGTTGCTAGACGTCGGAAGAAGTCGACGGGAAGCCATGGTAATAGCCAGGCTAAAATCGTGCAAGATCTTCTTCGCCGTAAAAGAAGGGATTCATGGTTAAGAAGTTTGCTGGCAAAGGCGGTTCTAATTAGAAAAGGATCAGACTCTCAAGGACTTGAGAGGTCTACAAACGAGGATGAGTGCATGGATTTACTTTTGGTTTCCATCCCAAAAGGCCTCGTACTAATAGAGTTGGACTTCTCTTTATATATTAGACACTCCTTGTCTAATTCTCCAATGTGGGACTTAGTTTGTTATCTCACATTCTCCCCCTCAAACTAAGGATCACATTCATCTCGTGTCCCACAACTGATTTCCAAGATCTTCTGACTTGATTTCTGCCACTGACCTCTCATTCCTAACTCATAGGATACCCACTCATCTCTCGAAGGGTATTTTGGTCTTCTTGCAGATTTCTCGTCAACCGCTCTGATACCAATTGTTGGGTTGTGAAAGCCCATGTCCAACTCTATATTTTCTTGTTAGTACGATATTGTCCACTTTGGGCCTGATAGACAAGCCCGCATGGATTTACTTTTGGTTTCCATCCCAAAAGGCCTCGTACTAATAGAGTTGGACTTCTCTTTATATATTAGACACTCCTTGTCTAATTCTCCAATGTGGGACTTAGTTTGTTATCTCACACTACTGGTGCGTTTGAGTATATCCATTAGTAGAAAATGACGCAACTCTTTTTCTTCTTTTCTGCTAATGGTTAAATGCCAATAGTTGCTTCCCAAGCCAAGATTAGATTATGTTCAGATCTATCGGATACACATTTTTTTCCAATGTCTCATTACCTGACTCGAACGACCATATCACTTGTGTTGGCACAGTTATTGTTGGATACACACAAGCAATTATCAATGTTGCACTCAAAAGGAGGCTAATCTCAAACTAATCTCGGCTAGAAAGCCTGTCAAGAGTGAGTTATTGACTCCTACTGAGTGTAGAAGTATATGGATTAAATAGGCTGATACCAAAAATAATGGAGCTGAAGCAAGTAAATTTATTCAAAAACATACATGGATTAATTTAAGAATATCAAAAATCTCTGAGTTTCCATTATTAAAACAAAATGTTTTACAACATTCTTCCAAAAAAATGAATCTTATGTAAAAAAACAAGAGTCAAAACACAAGTCCACGGTGAAAAAAAGGACTGCTTTAAAGTCTAACCCAAACAGCCTCACTCGGAATTCCACGGTGAACCACGAACATCATATAATACCCAGGCGGCGCCACGTAGGAGTTCGTTGGTCCCTCCACGTCAGCTTTATACGCGAAAACAGATAACTGAGCGACGCGCCTCACGCGCAACACCAACAACCTCTGGTTCATCGCCGTCGAGTGCGTGCTGAACGGCGGAGCCACGAGCCTCACCGACACTCCTCCGTCAAACATCCCAAACGCCGGAATCACGAACGTCACCGAAAACGACTTCCCGTAAATCATATTCCCGGCGAGCTCCACCGTGAGAACGGACGGCCTCACGCGCGCGTACTGCGGATCGAGGTAACGCGGGAGATAAGCCTCGAGACTGAGCTCCGTCGGATAATGCCTCGCCGTGAAGTTATAATTCCGGTGAGGATTGCTTCCTCCGATCAAGACTCTCCCGTCGGGGAGGAGGAGAGAAGCCGAATGGTACATCCTAGGGATCCGAGTTGGCGCGAGAATTTCAAATCTCCGGGTCGGGTCGGGTTCGTTGGGTAAGTACAAAATCGGGTTGAGAACAGCGTTTGTAGCGTCTTCCCACCCCGCGGTTCCATTCGCCGCTCCGTTAATGATCAAAACGTCACCGTTCGGTAGTAACAACATATCAGGCATGACACGTGGCGACGGCATCTGCTCCATGACCCATTTCGGATCCGGATCGGTCACTCTCAACCTCCCGCACGTGCGAGAAGCTCCCACGAAGATTTTAGGTATCGTCCTCGCCGCCTTAAGAAACGCTCCGGGAGGAGCGCCGCCGCAGACCAGAACCTCCGCCGATACCTTCGATCGGTTATTTTCTCCGGTGAGGAAGAGAGGGAGGAGCACGGAGGAGCCGGTGCTGGGGTAGTTCCGTTTGTCGCCGTCGGGAATCTCCGGGAACTCTTTGACGATTCGGTGATTGACGAAGTCGAAGAGGATCGATCTCCGGTTAGCGAAGATGAAGAGGTTTCCGTCGGGGAGGAGATGAAGGAAGGGGTAAAGATTGTTCTCTTCGTTAGGATCTCTCGTCTCGGCCAAGAATCTGAGGAAGAAAACAGATTTTCTCGGGTTCTTGGGGTAGAACTCGTAGGTGAAGGCTCTTCTCCCGCCGACGATGATGATCCTGCCGTCGGGAAGAATCTGGTTGGTGGAATACCACCGGCGAGAGGAGAGATACGCTCTGTTCTCAAGCCAATCGCAAGAATCGCGTTCGCAGGGAGTGAATATACGTACGGCTCTTTCGCCGACGCCGTAACCGCCGGTTTGGATCAAGGAGCCTGAGGCGTTTAAGGAGCCGGATGAGCACCACGTGTCGGATTGGAGAGTGAGTGGGCGGAAAGTGTTGGAAGCGACGTCGTATAGGAGGGAATGAGCGGAGCAGTCGAAAACGGTGGCGTTTCGGCAAGTTTGAGAAGGGAGGGAGAGGTTTGAAGGGCCGTAGTCTGTACGGTCAAAGATGATGACTTTGTTGTTGTGGAGGAGTTGCATGTGCATGGCGGAGATGCCTATAGTCGGCTGTAGGAGATCCCATCTCCCGCCGGTGAGGATCGCTAAGGGAGAACGTGGGAGGAGCAAATCCGACGTGGAACATAGGAAGAAGAAGAAGAAGAAAGACAAGATTACTGCGTGTACGTTCTTCTTGAATCTTTCTTCTTTCATGTTTCGTATGCTTCTATATTCAGCTATGAATCTTGATTCACCGGAGAAGGAGAATTTAACAGTTAAAGCTTTTTTGAGTAAGTCTTGTCTTTCTTGAAATGGTTAGGAGAAGAAACATTTATGATGTTTTTACTTTCTTGTTGAAATGTATAATTCATAGACTCGCAGTGTACTATGTACATAATGGTCTTTAGATTTATTATCATAAGGGTCAAGAAATTATTTATTGCTTTTGGAATGTAAAACTGAGTTGGTGAATCTGGATCTGTATATATTGATCACGGACCATCTTCACAGAGATGAACAGTATGGCGTTTTATCAACTTGCTGTGTAAAAATATTTATGAGATTGAGTTTGCACTTCTTGTTCTGTTGGGGGAACAGAGAGTCCCGCCATTAATAAGCTTCTGACTGCAAGAGTACTACTGTAGTTACTTGGATGGCAAGGACAAGGGTCCCCTTGATACGTATATGGGCTGAACTTATACTCTGTATGACACCAGCTTGTTCGACCCATTGGGCTTTTGAGTCTGTACTTGCACCACAGTGCGTTAAAATTACGTTAAAAAGTTTTTACTTTTCATAACCTAATCAAATCACAATATTTGACTGTTGAAGTGTACTCATGTAACTTTCAATTTTAAGTAGAGTATGAAAGCCAGTTATGAAGATGCTATTTATTATCTAATCTTCACATTATTATCTTATGTATGGGTGGTAGAACCAAAAATAGTAACCTCAAATTTTAAAGGTGCTATTAATTTATCTCTCTAACTAAAAATGGTATTACGAAAATAAAAAAATTACTTAAATTATACCACAAAAGAAGGACAACACACAAAAGCATGCAAAAAAAAGATCTAAATCAATGGTTGATTACTATGTTAATTCTTAATCCTCCATTGACCCATCCCTCTCTCTCTCCAGTTCCTTGCTATTTAAGCAATCCATGATTCAACATCCAATCTTCAACCCGGCAGCCCGATCTGAAAACCACAAACTCCCTTTGTGGTTTTCACCGGGAAAATAAATCTCAGCTGCTTTTATCTCTCTCAAAATTTGCAAATGGCAGCAGCGTTTTTGAATATTGGCGGTTACGTTTTTATCTTCTTCTTGTTGTCATTAGCCACATTGGCCCCACAGGTTCGATCCCATATTGCCGTCTTTGACGACTACTGGACGCAGCGTCAAGGCGATGCGTTGAAACAAACTTTGGCCTCTTTTGATCCAAATCCACTCAACGTCACCAACCATTTGAATTACCATGTCGCTTTGTGAGTTTTTTATTTTGTTATTGTTAGTTACATGTTAACCTAACTTATTAAACAAGTAACCTAATAAAACAATTTGTTTTTTTTTTTCTGAACAGAGCACTAGACACCACAGAATCAACCAACAACAACACAAGAAGAGAGCTTTCACAGATGAGACGTGGTCGAAAAATGCGAAACAAGAGAGGACAATGCGTAGCTCATAACCCAATAGACAAATGCTGGAGATGCGACCGTGACTGGGAGAAAAACCGTAAGAAGCTAGCGGATTGTGCTCTCGGGTTCGGCAGAAGAACCACCGGAGGAAAAGACGGACCGATCTACGTAGTCATCGACGCCTCAGACGACGACGTCATCAACCCTAAGCCAGGAACGTTAAGACACGCTGTGACACGAAACGGACCTCTTTGGATCACTTTTGCAAGAAGCATGATCATAAAACTGCGACAAGAACTGATGATGACGAGCGACAAAACGATCGATGGAAGAGGAGCTAAGGTTTACATCATGGGAGGTTCTGGATTAACGTTGCAGTTTGTGAATAATGTGATCATACACAATATCTATATCAAGAACGTTGTTCCCTCGAACGGTGGTTTGATCAGAGACTCTGAGAATCATGTAGGGTTAAGGACGGTTAGTGATGGTGATGGAATCAATATGTTTGGAGCAACTAATGTTTGGATTGATCATGTCTCGATGACTAGATGTTCAGATGGTATGATTGATGCAATTCTTGGCTCCACTGCTGTAACTGTCTCCAACGGCCATTTCACAGACCACCAAGAGGTAATAAAGCATTTTTATTACAAACATATTTTTCTTAAATATTACTTACAAACTTGGCATAGACTATGATTTATACCTTTTTGTTTGAGGTTGTATTTACACCTATTTCTACACAACCTGATGAAGCATTTGGTTTGACCACATTTTAAAGATTTAAGTTATCAATTATATTATTAAGTGTAACTTAAAAATGTTTATGATCCTCTAAATGGTAGTTTAAATTATTTTTTTTCTTTTTCAAATGAATATTTTAAGCTCTTATTTGAATTTGTTTTGTGAGAAAACAGGTGATGCTTTTTGGGGCCAATGACAAACACGTGATCGACAAGAAGATGCAGATAACAGTTGCGTTTAACCACTTTGGTAAGAGACTGGAACAGAGAATGCCTCGTGTCAGATTCGGAACGATCCATGTGGTGAACAACGACTACACACATTGGGAAATGTATGCAATAGGTGGAAACATGAACCCTACAATCATTAGTCAAGGCAACCGTTTCATTGCTCCTCCTAACGATCAAGCCAAACAGATCACAAAGAGAGAGTACACTCCTTACGTTGATTGGAAACTTTGGAACTGGCAATCAGAAGGAGATTACTTCCTGAATGGAGCTTACTTTGTGCAATCAGGAAAACCAAATGCGTGGAGCCCTAAACCGAAGAACCCTGTCCCAAACAAGTTTTTGATCCGACCTAAACCGGGAACGATGGTACGTAGACTCACAATGGACGCGGGAGTACTAGGCTGCACACCGGGTCAAGCCTGCTGAGTGAAATTACCATTTTGTTGCCTTCCCAACAAACAAAGCTTGTGCTCTTGTATTTACTTGTTGTCCAAGAAAAAGAGTGAGAGAGATGGAAGAAAAACATGTGAAAATGTTTTTTTTTTCTGTGAATGAGGTTTTGTAACAATCCGCAGTTTCGGATTATTATTCTTTTCCCCCGGGAGATGAGAAATTTTTTAATACCTTGGATCTATATACAATTTTTCCAATATATTCTCATTAACTCTCTTGTCTTGTCTCGTGTGTTGTTGCTTCGAAAAAATTACAATGAAATTATGAAATGGAGCTGTATGGTTTAGATCTCTTTTGGTTTAGGCAAGGCTACTGGTTGTTTAAATAATGATGATTCCTAGGAATCGTGTGGCGTTTGTTGGAACTCTATTATATTAGATTATAGAACACTATTCTTGGATTGTATTATTATTGTATATACGACTGAGAACTAGGGGATGCTTCTTCTTTTCCTGCTTGATCTAGATATGAGTAGTAGACGATAATATACATAAGAAACTGAATTCAAATCTCTCTTTTTTTTTTTCCACATTACTTGTATTGTGCACATGTGACATTGTGACAATGCATCTTTACTACACTTGTTTTCTTGTATCGCAAGTTTGACTTACATTGTGCGGCACGCATTTGCAAACTCCATCAATTAAAGAAGAAGATTCGGACCGGATGAACAACGCCTAGCCTAACCATGGAGGAGACTATGCATAGAACAGATGATGAATCTTAAGGAGGGCCATAGGATAATGGGATTATATCTTTTTGTTTTCTGATAGGGTTCTTGATGATTGATCTCTATTCATATCTACGAGAAAGAATTGACAAAAGTGAGTAAAAAATCGAGATCCTTTGTGTTACTTGGTTACATCCCAAAACATAAATGATTGTCTTGTCTTATTTTAGCTGTTTTTAATTTAAGAGCAACTGTCAAAATGAATATATACAAGCATGTCTGATCCAAAAAAAAAAAAAAGCCTCAGGCTTTGAGAAGATGGTTTGAATATTGGTTATAAAGGCAGATTAAATCCGGTTAACGGTACAGTTCGCCCGAAAAGGTTAATTCCGGTTTAGGTGGCTCGTCCAAAGGCTAAAAGGCAACAGCTTTACAGATATGACAGAGGAGCAACTTCCTCGAACATCTTCACCGACACCGTAGGTTCCTAATAATTCAACTTTTTCAATTCCTCCTCATCGCACGGTGAGATCGAAAACCGACTCCACCCATTCCTCTGATCACCGGCGGTCATCGCCGTGACACAGATGATAGCTTGACGACCTCTTCTCGCCGCGATCTTTGCCTCTTCCTGTAATCGCCGTCTTCTACTTAATAAACGAGATCTTTTTTTTTTCCACGGTACCCTTATTCATTTTCCCTTGAATGTTTCTTTGCTGGATCCGTTGATTTTTTACTTTCTTATAGCTAATTTTTGGTGAATTGATGCGACTTTAAGCTGTTTCTAGGGTTTCAAGTTTTAGTTTTGGATTTAAAGTTTCTTCCTTTTTATTGTAGTTGATGTTTGCTTCTGATCTATTTAGCTGTTATAGGGTAAAGGTCCTGTCTTTTTTTTTTTTTTTTATCATTCTTATAGCTATTCTAGTGATGTTGCTAGGTTTAATTCTTAGTTTTGATGTTGCTAGGTTTGATTCTTAGTTTTGATGTTGCTTCTAAGCTATAGAGTAAAGATGTTTTTTTTTGTTATTATTGTAGCTATTCTGGTGAATTGATGCGAGACTATACTGGTTTGAGGTTCAGCTCTTAGTTTTGATGTTGCTTCTAAGCTATCTAGCTGCCTTGGGTCGTAAATTACTATGCAGATTAGAGTCTATAACATTATATTAGATTATTTAGCATGCCCAAACCATTGAAAATCGGTTTATATGAACACAAGGGTTCACAGAGGTGTTCAGACGTCATGATGATGAACTTATGGGTTTTTATTTTGTAGACTGAAGGAGGATGTCGACTCCAGCAAGGAAGAGGTTGATGAGGGATTTCAAGAGGTTGCAGCAAGACCCACCTGCGGGTATAAGTGGTGCTCCTCAGGACAACAATATCATGATCTGGAATGCTGTCATATTCGGGTAACGATTCAAGTACCGTAGATACTAGCTTAGTTTCTGAAACACTTAGGTTGTTTCTGTTACTTACTTTTGTTCTTCTTGTTTTGTGAATTTTTCAGGCCTGATGACACCCCATGGGATGGTGGTACTTTCAAACTCTCACTGCAATTCTCTGAGGATTATCCAAATAAACCGCCAACAGTTCGCTTCGTGTCACGGATGTTCCATCCAAATAGTAAGTTCTTCAGATGCAGCATTCTATTTTCTTCGACGTTAATGTTTAGCTTTTGGCTCACATAAACTTTCTTCTTCTCTACCTGCTTTGTAGTTTATGCAGATGGGAGTATTTGCTTGGACATTCTACAAAACCAGTGGAGTCCAATATATGATGTTGCTGCTATACTTACCTCCATCCAGGTAAAATATTGAAATACCCTGGAACCTTGAGATAACTTTGTTCTTCTCTAATCCATATTCTCTCCCTTTTTTATTGCAGTCATTGCTCTGTGACCCTAATCCGAATTCTCCTGCAAATTCGGAAGCTGCTCGGATGTACAGCGAAAACAAGCGTGAGTACAACAGAAGAGTGCGCGATGTTGTGGAGCAAAGCTGGACTGCTGACTAGTAGTAGTTAGTTGTAAGCTGTGTAACTCTCTCTCCTATTCTCAATGTCATCACCATTAAGCAACAGCTTTTCTTTATCTTTTCATTCATGTCTTTTGTGTGTGTTTCAAAACTCTACTGATTAGATGCTTTAGCATCCTTATAAAAACTTTGTACCAAACCTTGCTAGGTATCAGAAACAACTCTGTACCAAAATTGTAAAAAAATGTTTATGATATGAAATATTAAAGGGTGTGTGGCCGTTTCCCTCTATCACCCATCTATGTATCACCAACCCCAAGGTTCCCACTGCTTGTCCATCCTTGCTGCACCTGAATTGTGTACTGCAGATTCCACACAACATCCTCTATTGATGGACGCTTTTGCTGATCTTCACAAAGACAGTTAATAGCAAACTCCACTGTGGTCCTTAGTGACTCATACGCATATGTTCCTCTCACACTCGGATCTGCTAAGCTACGTAACACCGATGGTTCGTCTCTTAAACCATTCTCCAGCTGAAGCTTTAAGCTTCCCAACTCTGAAGATGCAGCCGCCATTACTTTGCCTGTGATGATCTGAAGGAGGATCACTCCAAACTGGTACACATCTTCCTTCTCTCCGTCTTCATTACTAGTGCTTTCTGCTCCAACCTGCAGGATTCCCCCAAAGGATTATACATGTCATGAGACTGAATTAGAAATAAACAGCCAAGTCTTGTTATACCTTGGATGGTAAAGGAATAGTATAGCCACTGAGTTTGACAGTGAGTGTTTCATCAAGCAGGACATTCTCTATCTCCAAATTGTTCCCAAAGATTCCTGGTGCCACTCCTGTGTGCAAAAACTGTATCCCTCGAGCTACTCCAATGGCTATAGACATTCTCTGAGGCCATTTCAACACCTCTTTCTTTCTCCAATCTGCCAAAAAAACACTTCCAAAAATTAGTTTCCTGAATCAAAACTCTTGACATCTTTTTCAGGTAGTACCAGTGAGGTAGTCCTTCAAAGACCCGTTAGAGATGTATTCTTGGACTATGAAAATGGTGCTCCCGGCGTATGGATGATTATCTTGGTAAGTACCAATGCAGTGTCCAAGAACACTGGCCAAATGCATATGCCTTAGCTTTGATAAAACTTCCATTTGTTGAGCCAAGTTCTGTGTTGTTGTTGAACTCTTCTGTTTCAGCTTAATACACCTCACTGTCACAGCTATTCCTTCTCTAAGACAACCTTTGTACAGCTGTTTTTTTAAATTACATCAGTTAGAGACTCAAATAAACTTATGATCATGTTTTGTTTGCTATTTCATTTTACCTGTTCTCCACAGAGACTTGCTGCATCAAAGTTGTTGGTGGCTTCTTCCAGTTCCTCCAAAGAGAAAACACGGTACGGTGATAGTCCAATCACAGCAGATCTCATGGTTTGTGGTACACGTCCTGCATATATAACTTGACCTAGTTAGGTTAAATGGGTTTGATTCAAGATTTCAAAGTAATCCTTTATTATTACTTAGATCTGGTACTGTCTTTGATGTAGTGGACCTTGTGGCTGTGCTACAAACAGAGACTTTATCGATGTTGTTAGCTTCTAAAGGTACCTCTTTTGATCTTGACATTCTCATCCTAACCAAAACTAAACCAGCCAAAACCGCTGAAGCAAGGACCACACCTATGATAATGCCAATCACTAATCCAAGTTCGATTCCTTTATCTTCTTCTTTCTTTTCGTGATCCTTAGTGTCTGACTTCACAGCAGAAACCGCTTGCTTTGCTTCGTTTTCGCAGAAGGAAACAGGACGCTGATACTTTGCAGAAGGAGAGCCTTTTACGGACAAGCAGTTGAATGTGTAGACCACTGTCTGATTATGGAAAGTCTTGGAAGACAAGCAAGATGGAAGCTTTCCAGTTAGAAGATTCCTAGAAACATCTAAAACTCTAACCTTGGAGCTGCATAGAGATGAGTTTGGAAGTGATCCACTGAACAAGTTCTGTGCCAGACTTAGATTCTGAAGTGAAGGAAGCGAGAACATGAATCTTGGGATTGACCCAATGAACTTGTTGGAAGAGAGATCAAGGCTTTGAAGCTTATTCAGCTTCTTGATCTGTTCTGGGAGCTTGGATCCAAAAGAGTTGTTCTTCAATGAAACAGTGATTAGGTTACTTGCGAGTGAAGTAACAACGTCAGGGCCTAGTTTATTACCGTCTAGATTCAGCTCTTGAAGATCCGACAATCCTCTGAGATCAGGAACACTTCCGTTGAGCTCATTGTTGGCCAAAACAAGACTTCTCAGGCTCTTCAAGGAAGAGATCTCTTTGGGGATTTTCCCGGAGATGAAGTTAGAGCTGAGATTTAGAGACTGGAGAGAAGGAGAAAACCTGATGATCTTTGGAGGAAGAGGACCAGAGATGCCTAGGGAGACAAGAGACAAAGTCTTTAAGTTTGAGAGTTTTGTGAGAACAGTGAAGAGCGAGTCGGTGGAGAATGTTTTTGAGAGTTTAATGATTCTGTTCCCGGTGACGGTTAATTCGGTTACGTGACCGTTGAAACAGAGGATTTTGAAGGAAGGAGAAGGTGGGAGGTAGCAGAAGTTGGTTAAATTGCTCCATGATCTTAGAACTGGTGGATATTGTAAGTGTTTCTGGATTTCTAGTAGAGTTCTTGATTCACTTGAATTTAGCTGTGATTGTGAGAGTGGTGTTAGAAGAAGAAGTAGAAGGAAAGTGAGTGAATAGGTGTGAGTTTTGGAGAAATTCTTCATCTTCTTGGGGGATAATTACAGAGAAACATGTATTTGTTTCTGAGATTAGTGTGGTTTGATTAATACTAATAGTAAGTGATGTAAATAGAAAATGCAGGAGAGGTGCTTTAGTACATAAATTCTTGGGATTTTTTATGATGTAACGCAGCTTTTTCTTGGGAAATTGATAGATAGTAAATACAATATTTGCTTTTATAAGTTTTGTTTTTTTCTTGATTGGTGATCAGTTGCTGCACATTGACAGACTGTTTAACTGCATGGAAGGAAGTGATAGTAATGTTTTTAAAAAGAGAAAAGGTTAACTAGATCCTTAAAATACGTAAAATCCACATGAAACATCTGACTATTTATCTACTTTTGATCGAAAATTTCCACAATTAGATTTCATTTTGTTAAACTAATTCAACTTGGTTAATTTAGTAACTATTTTCGCTGTAGTCAGCAAGTAAATAAATATACTTTCTGTACTGGTCAGACCTTTCTTTATAACATGCATTTATTGGATACATAATAGACTCCTATGTAACATATGCATACAACAACACATATAACATGTTTGACGAATAAATGTTTGTAGTTGTACTTTGTCTTGAAAACTGTACATCTCTTTCCCAAAGTAAAATTCTTTCATCCTTACAATTTTTAATACTCCAAGGTGGTATGAATGGTAATCTCTTTAGGAAGATAAGGTTACATATCAAAGCTCTTTTTATCTTACGAAAACACCTACCTATTAATATGGGAGATATGTTTCTTTAGTGTATACTAGATCTCAGAGATGTAGTAAAAGTCAACCAGGGAACGCTGTTTCTTTGTTACTACAGTTTATCACTCAGGTCTCACGCGCGAGACGATATGAAGGCACGTGCTGACTCTCTTATCAACGTAATGATCGACGTTACTTTATATCAGATCACGTCGTTAAGGATATATGTCATTGTCGCAATGAAAAAGAGATAATTGGCTAAAGTGTTCTATTTGACATCTATAATTAGAGAATTGTCCATGATGTGATAATCACTTTCTTTTGGACCATTTTGCCTTTCTCTACACTCTCTCTCATCTCTTTAATATCTCCCCTCTTTTTTTTTTCTCTCCAATCCCTAATTATTTTACAAATCTCTATCATTCTATATACAATTAAATTTTAAATTTCATTATTTTTTTCATAAGTGGCTTTGAATCCTCAATTTTTTGATGATATCAATTTTCTGGATTTTAGATTCGACGTCGTGTTAGCGGTTAACAAATATTGTAGACGTTAACAGAAGTGTTAGTTGTTAACAATTATTTTTACGCTTCGCGTTAATAAATTTATTCGCTGTTAACAAATATTGTAGACGTTAACAGAAGTGTTAACTGTTAACAATTATTTTTACGCTTCTTGGTAATAAATGTGTTGGCTGTTAACAAATATTGTAGACGTTAACAGAAGTGTTATATGTTAACAAATGTTTTTACGCTTCGTGTTAATGAGAGGAAAGAGAAAGGGCATTCTCGATATTTCCTTACCAAATGGTTGTGTCAGTGTCCTTCATGTCCAATCAATGATATTTTGCTAATTTAAACTTTAAATATGGATAGTTCACTAAATCACTCAATGAAAAATCCTTAACGATGTCCTAACAACAATTATTTGTCGAATTTCACTCTACCTCATCTGTTTGATTTATATATAATGGGACATCAAATGATCAGTACTTGTTTTTTAGGTCATTAATCAATATCGAACTAATGAAACTAGCAATTAATTTCGACGAGATATATTGTAATGATCTCTATTATTTGATGATAGATGTTTAGATATTCGTCGGTGAGATTAAAGAAATGTGTGTTCGTTTTGTTTCGGTGTGTTTAAAAAGTATAGAGATTCTAACAAATCTCCCGCTGTTTTCCCTTAAGTGTGATGAACTGTCCATTACTTTTCTTCTTTGTTCTTTTATTCTTTCTACATTATGATTATTCGTTCTTTGTTTTACAATTGGCTTGACTTGTCTAACTAATGAAGTTTGGCTATTATACGAAAAAAAGGAAAACATCACTAATAAGCAAAGTTCGAAATCGCTTAAGGGAAGTTTTCAAGTGCGACTCCGAGATTATTGTAGACTCTTAAGTCAAAACATTTATAAAAGGAAGCTGGTCATGAAACAAAACAAAATTTTATTTGGTTGCAGTTTCCAAGTTTTCTTGAGAACTTGTTAAGTAATCGTGATTGAAAGATTTTAATTTACTAACAAAAGAAAAGGATGGGAAAAGTAATGCGACATCACATGCAGCTGCCTTGTAATATGCGACACTTCTACAACCATCAATTAATATGATAATTCCAAATTCATTTTGATCTAGTACTATTAGTTAAAACCATTTATGTTAGGCTTATGGGTTGTAAAAGCATAATGTTTAAACCCAGTACATCCAACTCACGCAGGCCCAACTATATATATCCATCTTTAGGGTCCACATTATGTGGGGAAAAGGATCTATTCTTCCCCAAACAATTTCAATCCTGCCAAATACACCCTGAACAATCATTCAGTGCCAAATACAACCTGAACTATGTTATAATTCACAAATACTACCTGAACTTTTTAAAACGTGCCTAAACCTACACTGACCATAACAGAAGTTAGTCAACCGTTAAAATGATAAAACGACGTCGGGTCTATTCCTACCCAAATAAATTCAGTCGTGCCAAATACAACCCGAACAAACATCAATTGCCAAATACGACCTGAACTATGTTATAATTCAAAAATACTACCTGAACTTTTTAAAACGTACATAAACCTACATTGACCGTAACAGAAGTTAGTCAACCGTTAAAATTGATAAAACGATGTCGTTTCGATTTCATTATTTTTTTTAAAATATGAAGATTCCGGGATTCGAACTCGGGCCTTGCCCCTATTTAAAACAGACATATCAACCACTAGACTAAAGCAATTTTTTTAAATAGTACTACAAATTTGCAATTATATATGATTTTATACTTTTTCATCTTCTCTAATTAAAACTTTGCTTATTATTATTTTTGACTCTTATTAATATATTAACATATTTAATAAACTTATAAATACTAATTTCTTTTGTTTCTTAAAATTAATATAAGCTGAATATACTTTACCAAAAAAAAATTACCATTAAGTTTTATTTTTAAAATAATTTATATATGGACATTTTGTAAATAGTTGAAAAACCTGAAATATATTTAATTTTGTATGATTATAAATATTTTATTATTTATATTTTAGTATAATATAAGTTTATTGAAGATATAATAATTACAAAATATGTTAATATATTTATAAGAATCGGAAATAATAATAACAAAAGTTTTAATTAGAGAAGATTAAAAAGTATAGTAGCATATATAATTGCAAATTTGCTGTTTTAGTCTAGTGGTTGATGTGTATGTTTTAAATAGTGACATAACTCGGGTTTGAGTCCCGGAATATTCATTTTTAATAATAGAATCAAAACGACGTCATTTTATCATTTTAACGGTTCACTAACTTCTATTACGATCAATGTAGGTTTAGGCACGTTTCAAAAAGTTCAGGTAGTATTTTTGCATTATAACGTAGTTCAGGTCGTATTTGGCACTGGATGTTTGTTCGGGTTGTATTTGGCACGATTGAAATTGTTTGGGTAGGAATAGGCCCTTTTCCCGACGTCGGTTTATCATTTTAACGGTTGACTAACTTCTGTTACGGTCAATATAGGCTTAGGCACGTTTTAAAAAGTTCAGGTAGTATTTTTGCATTATAACGTAATTCAGGTCGTATTTGGCACTGAAAATTTGTTCGGGTTGTATTTGGCACGATTTAAACCCAGTACATCCAACTCACGCAGGCCCAACTATATATATCCATCTTTAGGGTCCACATTATGTGTATGGCTTACACGCCTAAACTATACTACAAACGTAGTTTTGTCATTGGTTATCATTTATAACAAAATAATTAGGATGCAAAATAATTGTTATTTTCAACAATCATATAAAATAAGATCATCTATCAGAAACATAAAAATAAATAAACATTTTCTACGTACATATTTTATGGTACAATTCAAATTCTAATAGATGAGTTCTAAACTCTATTTTATAAGGATATATTAAATCATTTTTAATATTCGTTTATGGACAAGAGAAAACTATCTATCTAGTTTGAACTTACATCTTAAATTGACAAGTACATCATTATCAAGAGCGGGTTAAGCATTTAAATAATTGATTCTAAAGTACTAAACGTGTGGTTCTAGGAGTCTAACCACTTGTATAAAAAAAAAAGTAGTCACTTATCAAATTCAAATATCATCAACGCTATGATCCAAGAAAGGTGAGGGTACTTCCGTAAATCAAGCTCCAATGACTCCTTTATTTGGGCCCAGAAAGGCCTAATTTAAAACTTTGCCAACACATTTATTCCAACGGCGTCGTTTTAAACTAATCAGATTCTCTCTCTTTCTTCTTCTCTGGGGGTAATGGGCATCACTGTCAGTGGAACCGTTGAGGAGTCTGTGACCTACTCTGCTTTTTAGCCTCTTTGGTCATTGATCTCGTTGAAGACTTTTAAAAGGACAAAACATTCCAAGAACAAGAAGTTTAGGTTTGGTCCTGATCCTTCATTTTAAAAAAAAATTCTTACACCATTTTTGATAAAAATAATCTGCTTTTAATTTTTTACCCAGATCTGGGCTATTCTCTCTTCCTTATCATCTTCTTTATATCTGATATCTGTTTTTGTTTTTTTACCACTTTCCTCAGGTCTGATTTTATGTAAAGGTTTTGATTTTGATTTTTTGCTTTGGTATCTGCTTTAATTAGAATTTTACCAACTCTGTTTTTTGTCTTCATGAATTTACTCTGCTTTCTTCAAGATCCATCTGCTTTTGTTTCACTTTATTTAATGGATTTTTCTAGTTTTGGAATTAAAATTAATACATGTTGAAATAGGTTTCATCTCTCTACTTGTTCATGTTCCTTTGCTTATTCTGCTGTTAATTTAATGTGTTAGCCTGTGGAAAGTCACAGACTTTGGTTTGTCCGCTCTGCAGGTTTCTATATTTAGCAACTTTACTTCAGACTTCAGACGCATCTTTGCTCTCTTGAGAAATGGGAAAGACGCCTGGTAAATGGATCAAGACTCTGCTTCTTGGGAAGAAGTCACCAAAGTCTAACCTGGTTCTGTCGGTGAAGGATGATTTTTCAAACTTATCCCTTGATCCTCCTGTGGCTTCATCACAACATGACACACCTTCAACTGCTCAAAATGTTGTTGCCACAAGCAACGGTGATGATCTTGAGCCAAGGAATGATGTGGATGAACTCAAGCTTGGACAAGCTGCTAGTAAGATTCAGGCTGTTTTCAGAGCTCGTCAGGTACTTTAATTCTTTTTGCTGTACTACTTGAAATAGTTTAAACATATAAGGTTCTGGTAATGATGTGTTGGTAATTTGTACTGAAGGCACGTAGAGCAATTCGAACGCTAAAAGGTATCATCAGGCTGCAAGCAGTTATCCGTGGTCACCTGGTTAGAAGACAAGCCGTTGCTACTTATTCATGTATATGGGGAATTGTCAAGTTCCAGGCGCTTGTTCGTGGCCGCATAGGTAGATCTTCTTCAGATAATGTGATTCATTGTCAGAAACCACATATGGTAGAATCTCTTTATCACTCCTTAGTGTTACGTAGTTGCCTGATTTGATCATGTTATTTAGCTAATCATGTTATGTTCTTTCTTCTATTAGGATGTCAATGATTCTGAAGCTTTACAAGTGAGCATGTATAGTTGGATGGATTGTCCCTCAAAATTCATCATTGTCAATAAGGTATTTTAATTCCTAACTCTTGATAAACTTGGAGTTACCAATCCTGCATCACAACATTGGATATTTGTTTCCGTTGCTGTCTTTCAGCTTCTGGTTTCATCACAAGCTGCATTGCCTCTGAAGATCCAATATGGTCCTGAGGAACCTAACTCAGCCACGGTTTGGCTTGAACGCTGGACACAGTTTCATGTTTGGTCTCCTCCTCCACGAGCAGCTAAGATTCTTGCTCCAAAAACTAAGACAAAGAAGCGAAATTATCAAGAAGTGGCTGAATCAGAAAAGGCAAGACCAAGACAAGGTGTCAAGAAACAATCCGGCTCAACTAGTGGAAAGGTCTCTAACCGTTCTTCTACTACTGAAAGTGAGAAACCTAAACGAAGTGTGAGGAAGGCTTCCACGGTTAACAAAGATCCCCTGAGAACTGAGACTGACAAGGCGAAGCCAAGAAAAAGTAGAAGCGCCTCAAAGGAGGGATCACCGTTGGATGCTAAAGATGGGAAGCCTAGGCCTAAAAGGACTTCTCTTTCAAACACGTCGTTGAAAGTCACACGTAAATCTGCTGAGAAGAAGAAAGATACTGTGGATTCTGTGCAGAGAGAGCTTGATGTGAAGGTTTCAGATATTCTTGAAGTAGGAGACGATGTTGAGTCTGCTGAAAAGAAGAAAGATACTGCAGATTCTGTGCAGATAGAGCCTGAAGAGAAAGTTTCAGATGTTCGTGAAGGAGGAGACGCTATTGAGTCAGCTGAAAAGAAGATAGATACTGCAGAATTTGTGCAGATAGAGCCTGAAGTGAAGCTTTCAGGTGTTCTTGAAGGAGGAGACGCTATTGAGTCAGCTGAAAAGGAGAACGATACTGCAGATTCTCTGCAGATAGAGCCTGAGCTGAAGGTTTCAGATGTTCTTGAAGGAGGAGGACACGCTGTTGAGTCAGCTGAACCGGAGAAAGATACCACCGATGTAAGTCCTAAGGAGGTTAATGTCGAAGAAAAAGAGAAATCACCATTGGAAGATGAACTCAGAACTTCAGAGACCAATGATAAAGGTGAAGAACTCAAATGCTCAGATGTGAAGGTAAGCTCTGAGAATGGTTATAAGGCTTCTGATAACTCAAAGCCAAGTGAAAGACGAGTGTCACTGCACGCAAATGGTGAAGAGCGTACACATAGCGGGAGGAAAATCCCCAGCTACATGGCCCCAACTGCGTCTACATTGCGGCGCCATTCGCTGCCTTCTCCAGCCAATGGTAAGCAGAGCATTACTACTACGTCTCCAAGAGCTCACAAGCTTCTCCAAGCCTCGGCTAAAGGGTCTATGAACGGCGAAAAATCTGCTTCTTCTTTGAAGAACAAAACAGGTAAGCTAAACTCACATTTACACAAGTCTCTTAAAAACTAAAAGAGCTTTACTCATATCAATAACCTTTTTTGACTCATTCTGTTCTTGATTATTTCAGATAAGTCAAACAAAACCGAGTGGAAACGTTGAAGGTTCAGGCAAATAGATTGTCATATCATTTACACAATCAAGCTTGATAACTTAGTGTGCTCTTTCTTTTTCTCTGCGTTTTGGTTTGGTTTGGTGAGCTTAGAGTGTGTTTAGTCAGAGTTCATGTTCATTTCATCCATTTCATACGTTGCTTCAGTTTACTTTGATACATAAAGTGTTTGAGTAAATAGTTCTTCTCTGTATAAATCTTTTCTTTTACATAGACAAGCCTGCGTTTCACATACACTACACATAGAAACCAAAGAGACTAAGCTATTTCATTTCATCTTACTCGCGGAGATTGACTGTAAGAAGGCAAAGGGGATGCACCAGGAGTTACATTCAGCAGAGGCCGATCTTGACTATATCTCACCGGAGATTTCTGCATATCAGAGGAATGACGAGCTCTTGGAGATTCCATTTGAGTGTGTTTGGTTCCAGGTTTAACAGCGGCTTCTAGCTGTTCTAATGTGGATAAAACCACTGACATTTTAGGTCTTAGCTTTGCCTCCGGGTTTAAGCACTGCAACGCGAGACTAGCAGCTGCATAAGCTCCCTTTTGTGGATATTGACCGCCTAGTTTGGTGTCCATAATGCGGAAAAGCTTTCGCTTATCGTCAAGGTATGGTTTTGCCCAGTCCACAAGACTATACTCGAGTCCACCATTTGAAGTGTCCACGGCACGTCGTCCTGATATTAGTTCTAGTAGTACCACTCCGAAGCTGTACACATCACTCTTTGCTGTCAATCTACCTGTAGTAGGTGAAGATGAGCTTCTTAAGAAACAAAAACACTCTAATTGGTCAAAGATTGTTGGTTAATGTCAAAGCTTTTGATTAAGTTTTTCAAGATTTAGAAGTCTAAGTTTTTGAAAAAGGTTCTTACACGGTAGAACTTGTTGAAACTATAGATTGACTTTGCGTTTTAGTCTAGTTTTTTTTTTTAAACAATGGTTAACTATGCTATTACAGACTATGAAAAACATTACAACAATGATTTTGGTCTAGTTTAATATCATATTAAGTGAACAAACCTGTGGCAATATATTCAGGAGCTGCATAACCCTGAGTACCTATGACATTTGTGGACACATGTGTAGCATCACCGGTAGGACCTGCTTTAGCCAAACCGAAATCCGAAAGCTTGGCATTGAACTCCTGCATTTTAGGCACAATTTCAAACGGTTAAGAGTCAGAGAATTAATACCAAAAAGTGGTTGAAGAAAGTCTGGTCTATTACAGCGTCTAGTAGAATGTTAGCAGCTTTAAAGTCTCTATATATAACTTGTGACTTCGCTTCATGAAGAAAAGTAAGCCCTTTGGCTGCACCTACTGCTACTTTCATCCTTATTGCCCATGTAAGTGGCTGCGCACCACCTGCAAAGAACCATTAACCGGACAAAATTATAGCATATTGAAGAAACACATACAAAGATTAGTTCTCTGCATATTCAAGAAACAAATACACAAGATTAGTTATATTACAGAGAACATACGTCTAAAAAGATGATTCTCCAAACTTCCTTTAGGCATGAACTCATATACAAGAAGCCTGTTCTCGCCTTCTAAGCAGTATCCAACTAGTAATACAAGATTTGGGTGAGTGAGTTGACCAAGATAGTTTACTTCAGTCTGAAAGAAAAACATAATCTGTCAGCAAGAGAAAAGGACACACAAGAATCACGGTAAGGGAGAAAATCTTACCAACCACTCTTTATGACCTTGAAAGCCTTCAGGCTTAAGCTTCTTAACAGCAACAACGATACCAGAACCAGGTCGTGAAGCAGTGAGAGTTGTTTCATCAATCCATCCTTTGAATACGCAACCAAAACCTCCTTCTCCTAGTAGACTATCAGAACGAAAGTTCTTAGTTGCGTTCTTTAGTTCGTTGAAAGAGAAAGCTTTTAGGTTTGGCGATGAAAGTATCTCTCCTTCCGTCCTATGCTGCGTTGGTAATGATCCTAAACTGCTGTTTCCCGTCGTGTATGAACTTGTGCTTGGTCCTGAAGGAACTGTGGAACGGCTTGTGTTGCTCGAAACTCCTGAGGAAGCTATACAAATGATTGATCAAACATAGGAAAATTTCATTTTGTTGTCATGAATATTATTACAAGTAGTAACATATCAATTTCGATGGGCTTTAGAGGAAGTATTTACCGGAGTTATTGCTCCTGTTATCAACTTTAGCTGATGAATCTAAGCAATTACCCATTTCAGATTAAAAAAAGAAAAACCTAGTTTAGAGAAATAAAAGCAGTGTTCTTGTGGAACAAGGAAACACAGATGATTAGGACAAGAACAGAGCCGTAAAGTAGAAAGTATAGAAAGGTTCGTTGGTGTAATGTCTGATAATATAATGAAAATGTTAAACAATAAGAAAAAAGAAGAGAGGAAAGCCCAAGGAAGGTGGAAGAAGAATAGGGGATCATAAGCAAAACAAATCAATAATACATTTTGTTTTGTACCTCGGAATAATAATTTAGTCAAGTGTCTTATTTTCAAATGTGAGTGAGTGAGCCCCAGAATCGTTTTTTTGTTAATTTATGACTTAGCAGCCATGGGACAGGAGACTTTATTAGTTCGCGTTGAACTTGGTTGCCTCATCCTCACGTCACTACATCCACGACCATTATTAATTGTATGAAGAAATATTTTCCGGTAACTGAGTGGTAATTATTACAAGAAGGGAAAGTGGTGGTGGTCGTTGGCAAAAAAAAGTCTTGTTCCCATCTCATTTGTATCTAGTTATCTTCTTCCGTTTTAGCAGTTAGGATTAATTGGAACAGTCAACAATGGTTTTTTTTTTTTATATCACGTGTTCTATTGGCAGAGGAATTTTGGGTTGCTAAGAGCCTAAGCCATATAAGTTTGAAATCAATCCACTACACTTCATCATATTGACCACATGGGATATAGGCACATTCTTTATAGTCCATTTAAACACCTAAGAAAGAGTTGAATTGCACCTCTTTTATGATGGTCTAGACTATTTTGTAGATTTGAAATATCCCCAGATTAATAAAAAGAAAATAAAAAAAATTATCAACAGTATTTAAAATTTGGCTTCCGAATGGAGGATATACAAAAAAATTGAATTTTTGAGATATAAATATATAAATATAAATATAATATATATATATACACACACTAAATTTTAAATAAATATTAAATAAAATCAATAAGCTAAAAACTATTTAGAATTATTCATATATTTTCTACCATTTATCTTCGTTTTTATTTGAAATTTTAATATTTTATACTACTTGAGGTTAACTTGACTCGTTAGATCGTGTGCTACAATTACATAATACATTCATATGTAAATAGCCTATTGTTCTGTATATGGAATTAACAGAAAACGAAGGTTTTACTTTTACTTTGTTGACGTAAAAAATCGGAACTTGTCAGTTTTGCTTGTTGTTTATTGTTTTTCACCCAATTATGGTCTTCCTTGACGACTAAAATATTAATTTTGCTAGGGGATAAAGATAGCGGCCTGCCCATATCGTTGAAACTTTGATGGCCAACTTTTTTTTATAACAACATAGATGGAGATTTCAGATTTTCAATAGTACATACTCTCTCCGTTTCAAATTATATGTCATTCTAGAGTAAAATTTTCGTTTCAAAATAAAGGTGGTTTTATAATTTCAATGCAAAATTTATTGATTTTAAATGTTATTCTATTTTTTCATTGGTTGAAAAGTGGTTAGGTGTATAAGTAATTGTGTTTTTATTTTGAAAATATGTAAAATTAATTGTTTTCTTAATCTATGTGCAAAACTCTAGAATGACAATTAAATTGAAACAGAGGAAATATTGTTTGAGTCACAATCGATGATCAGTGAGATTCCCCTTTAGTAAGTTATTTTCAGTGTTTACGTTTTTTAATTTTGGAATTATTTGTTCTAGATCTATAGATTTTTATGTTTTTAAACAAAACATTAATTATGTTTCAGAAATTTTTACGTCGTACATTTTCAAATCATGGAATATCAAAACAATAAGTGGGTCAGACTTTTGTCTCATGTGTCTAATTTACTAATCCTTCCGTTTTAATTTAATTGTCATTCTAAAATTTTACATACAGATTAAAAAAATAATTAATTTTATATATTTTCAAAATAAAAACATAATTACCTATACACTTAACCATTTTTCAACCAATGAAAAAATAGAATGACATTTAAAATCAATAAACTTTGCATTAAAACTAAAAAACGATATTTATTTTGAAACGCAAATTTTACTCTAAAATGATGTATAATCTAAAACGGAGGGAGTATTAGAATACTGTGCATATGGCTTAAAATTATCGTCATTATCCAACAAAAGAAGATGTTAGTTTGAATAGCAATTTATGAGTATCTCGTACAAAGACATATCATCAACGCATGAATAATCAAACTCGCAGTTAACGTCTTCCAAAAGTTATTATTTTTGGTGTATTTCTTAAATCTTAAATGGGGATATCCATGGCCATGCATTGACCCAAGAAATTACTCGATCTAGTATTCACATTACTTGTTGACCGGAGAATTCAGAGAGATGCATAATTGAATATTATTAGGCACATGTGGAGAGAACCAATTTGCATCTTTTTTGTTGTTGTCAGAACTCGCTCAATATAAGTAACCTTGTAAGTTATAATATTTACTCCATTGCGAATGTTATTATATTGATATATTAGAGAATATGACCAAGTGACTTGCATCCAGTAGTAGTATATCAGGAAATCTTGTATATGCGCTCAATAGAAGTAAGCTTATACTATACTTGTGTAAAATGAGAGGTCAAACATTAAACTCATTTTGTTCTTGTTTGTTTCAGAGAAGTCAAACAAAATCGAGTGGAAACGGTGAAGGTTCAGGCAAAAGAGATTTCATCTCATTGTCACTATACAATCGAGCTTAATTAAGAGTGCATGCCTTTTCATATGTTGCTTTACTCTGATATATGTTTGAGTAAATAAATCTTCTCTATGTAACTCTTTTCTTCCACTAATCTCCAGTTATAAATACTACATCGACAAACCTGCATTTTACATATGTTACACATACAAAGCCACGAACATGATTAATTATTTACGTTCATCTTACACGCGGAGATTGACTCTAAGAATGCAAAGGGGATGCATCAGGAATTATATTCAGCAGAGGTCGATCTTGACTATATCTTACAAGACATTCTGCATAGCAGAGGAAAGACGAGCTCTTAGAGATTCAGTTTGAGTGTATTTTATTCCAGGTTTGGCAGCGGATTCCACAGCTCTTCCAATTTGACTAAAACCTCTGACATCTTAGGCCTGAGCTTTGGCTCGGGGTTTAAACACTTCAACGCGAGACTAGCAACTGTATAAGCTCCCTTTTGTTGATATTGCTTGTCTAGTTTCGTGTCCATTACACGAAAAATCTTCCGCCTATTGTTAAGGTACGGTTTAGCCCAGTCCACAAGACTATATCTGATTCCATTATTTGAATCCATGGCACGTCGTCCTGATATTAGTTCCAGTAGTACCACTCCGAAACTGTACACATCACTCTTTGCCGTCAATCTACCTGTAGGTGATGAAAATGTGCGTTCAGAAAGTGATAGAACCTGCAGGGCCGGCTGAGAAGGGTGGGAACTAACGGTGCAACCGTCCCGGGTCCAAATCCGTATCCCCTATATATCACTAATTAAGGGGTTCAATATTTTTTATATTTACATATTTTTATATAAAAGGTTTAAAATATTAACTAAATTTAGGTAAAAAGGGGCCAAAAATATTTTATGGGTAGATAATATATTTTCATCCTAAATTTTATAAAGATCAAGAAAAAAATTTAAATATATTTAAATTTTAATAAAAATAAATATTAAAAATTTAATATTTTTATTTTGTCCCGGGATCCAAAAAAATGTTGAGCCAGTCCTGAGAACCTGTATGAAACTACGTATTAGCTTTGAGTTTTAGTTTAGCGTAGTTCCATAAAACAAACCTGTGGAGATATATTCAGGAGCTGCATATCCCCGAGTACCCATGAAAAATGTAGATACATGTGTATCATCATCATCATCTCCAGTAGGACCTGCTTCCGCCAAACCGATATAAGAAAGTTTGGCATTGTACTCCTGCATTTTAGACACAATCTCAAAAACGGTTAAAGAGTCGATAAAAAAACCATTCCCAAAAAAGGTGGTTGAATAGAGAGTCGGTCGTCTAAATACAGCGTCTAGTAGAATCTTAGCAGATTTAAAGTCTCTATATATAACTTGTGACTTTGCTTCATGAAGAAAATTAAGCCCTTTAGCTGCACCTACTGCCACTTTCATCCTTATTGCCCACGTAAGTGGCTGTGGACGACCTGTAAAGAACCATTTGAACAGACGCATATGCTTCAAATCAAACTAAAATATTTGTTAATAATAAACAAAACATACGTCTGAAAAGATGATTATCCAAGCTTCCTCTAGGCATAAACTCATATACTAGAAGCCGTTTTTTTCCTTCGGTGCAGTATCCAATTAGTAATACAAGATTTTGGTGAGAAAGTTGACCAAGATAGTTTACTTCAGTCTGAAAATTTATAAAAAAAAAAAAAGACAAAATCTCAAACTCGGCAAGCAAAAAAAGACACACATCAATCAATCAGAGAAAGGGAGAAAATGAGCCGGGGCTTACCAACCAATCTTTACGACTTTGAAAACTGTCAGGCTTAAGCATCTTAATAGCAACAGCGATACATGAACAAGGTCGTGAAGCAGTGAGAGTTGTTTCATCAATCCACCCTTTGAATACGCAACCAAAATCTCCTTCTCCTATTACACTATCAGGACGAAAGTTCCTAGTTGCGTTCTTTAGTTCGTTGTAAGAGAAAGCTTTTAGGTTTGGAGATGAAAGTATCTCTCCTTCTGTCCTATGCTGCGTTGGTAATGATCCTAAACTACTGCTCCCTGAAGGAACTGTGGAATGGGTTGTGTTGCTGGAAACGTTAGACGCCGAGGAAGCTATAATAAATGATCGGTCAAACTCAAACAGAGAGTTGCTAAGAACATCACCAATACAAGCAATACAACAGAGCAATTTGAAATGCTTGAGAGGAGGTATAGACCTGAATTAGCATGTCGGCTGTTATCCACTTTAGATGATGAATATAAGCAATTACCCATTTCATATATAACCTAATTTGGAGAGATAAAGGCAGACAAAAGCTAGTGTTCTTGTGGAACAAGCAAACAGATGATCAAGACAGGAACAGAGCCTCAAAGTAATCTCTGCTTTAGCCGAATATATATTATAAAATAATGAAAATATTAATAAACAAAGAAAAGGAAAGTCTCTAAAACAAATCAATAATACAAAGTCCTGATGTTTGGTTTTGCTTTGTACTCAGAATAATAATTTAGTCAAGTTTCTTGTTCTCAAATGTCAGTAAATTATTAATTTATGACCTATTGACCTAGCTAGCAGCAATCGGACACTTTCATGAGTTCGGGTTTATATTATGTTTCGTCATCATGCTCAGGCCAGTACATCTACGTCCATTATTAATTGTACGAAGAACTTTTCAATGGTATTTCCAACTGTTGTAATTGTTACAAGTAAGGGAAGGTGGTGACAAGAGGGTCTTTTTCCATATAATTTTTTTTTTTTAAAGGGATTCTAAGTCAATGATTCACTTCGCTTTGCCCGGATCACCTGGGTGGTGATGGTCATGGGTAAAAAGACTTCTTCCCATCTCATTGCTAGGATAATCTTTTTATATTGACCTATGTAGGAGATGTGACCAAGTGACTGGTAATATCATGAGATCTAGTATATCTGCTCAATAGAAGTAAGCTTATGTGTAACCAGAAACGGGTTTTCCAAAGAATAATGTATGTTTAATTATCATATACATTAATTATATTCTCCTCCTGTATGACTTTTATTAGCACTGGTAGTAAACAGAAATTAAATTACTCACATTTAAATGACCTTGAGTGAGTAACTGACTAATCAAAAACATTTTAAATTTTAATATGATAGAGAAATTTATACGACTAGGTGTTCTCCTGCACCATGTGCAGTAAAAAGATTTAAAATATTTTTTTAACAGATACAATATAAATTACGTTTGAAATTAAAATTTTATTAATATTATAAATTTTCTTTTTCTTATCACTATTTTAATACAATTTTTTTAATTAAACAGAAAAATAATAGAAAAATAATTTTTGTTTATTTTAAATTATATTTATGAATATGCATGTATATATTTAAAATTATAATCTTAGATAGATTTTTTTATCTATTTATTTTAATTAAATATATTAAATAAATTTGTAGAAAAATTTATAATTATCAAAAATTAAAATTAGACAATATTTATTAAATTTGTAAATATATAAGAAACTAATAATTTTACGATTAAATTTTAATAATTTTCAAAAAGGTATACATTTTTGAAAAGTTTGTAATAAAATTGTATAATTTTAAAATATATAATTAAATGATTTTTTCGAAATTTATAATGCCATATTTGAAAATATTTATTTTAATGATGATTTATGAGTTATTACCATATTTTGCAAATATTTCCAAAAATATAAATCGACATCAAATCTAATATATGAGTTGTTACCATATTTTATAAAGCTTTCCAAATTATGTTTAAAATTAAAATTTATTAATATTATAAATTTTCTTTTTCTTATCACTATTTTAATACAATTTTTTTAATTAAACATAAAAATAATAGAAAAATATTTTTTGTTTATTTTAAATTATATTTAAGAATATGCATGTATATATTTAAAATTATAAGCTTAGATAGATTTTTATCTATTTATTTTAATTAAGTATATTAAATAAATTTGTAGAAAAATTTATAATTATAAAAAAATGAAAATTAGACAATATTTATTAAATTTGTAAATATATAAGAAATTAATAATTTTAGGATTAAATTTTAATAATTTTCAAAAAAGGTATACATTTTTGAAAAGTTTGTAATAAATTGTATAATTTTAAAATATATAATTAAATGATATTTTCGAAATTTATAATGTCATATTTGAATATATTTATTTTAATGATGATTTATGAGTTATTACCATATTTTAAAAATATTTCCAAAAATATAAATCGACATCAAATCTAATATATGAGTTGTTACCATATTTTATAAAGTTTTCCAAAAATATATATTAATATTAAATGCAATTGTGCATGTCATATTTAATCATATGCCATGTCATCAATTTTAGTAGACATGTCATCATTTTTTTGTGAAACTGATTGTAGAGAGGACATGTGGCAAAATCACTTCGCAAATAATATATAAGGGATTGACACAAAAACATATTTTTACTGCGTCGAGTTTGACTAGTCAGAATGCCACAAAAAAACTGTAAAAAAGAAGTAAATCCAAAATGGGTTCCAGAAAACTGCGTGATGTCTTTCGCAGGTAATAAACGTCACGTAGTTCCATCTTTTATTATAGACATGAATCCACGTCCCGTGGCAAATGAGAGCCACACCACGTCAGTTCATCTATCCAATGATATAATCACACGTGGAACATCTACGTCTTTCTCGCGCCACCAGCACTGTAACAACTTCCGTTTTTCTCACTCGAGATCGATCTCATAATTTGATCGGAAAATTAAACCGAAATTCGAATCGTCGCCGGAGAACAACATTCGAATGGAAGCTCACGGTTCCGGTCTCCGGCGAGTTCTGCTGCTGTCATTCTGTGTCGCCGGGATCTGGGCTGCCTACATTTACCAAGGCCTTCTTCAGGAAACCTTGTAAGTAAATTTCTCAAATTCGAAATCGATCGTTGCCTTAGCCGTTGTTGTTGATCCAAAGGATACATTTTTTTTAACGTCTGTGATTATTAGGTCAACGAAGAAGTTTGGTGAAGAAGGGAAGAGATTTGAGCACCTTGCGTTTCTGAACTTGGCTCAGAATGTAGTTTGCTTGGTTTGGTCTTATATAAGTGAGTTTACGAAATGCTCTTGCTTTGTTGTATTCGATAGAGTTATAGCTGATGTATTGATGTTTATGAGCAGTGATTAAGCTCTGGTCTAATGGAGGTAGTGGTGGAGCTCCATGGTGGAGTTACTGGAGTGCTGGTATTACTAATACTATTGGTCCTGCCATGGGTATTGAGGCTTTGAAGTATATTAGCTACCCTGCTCAGGTAACTTTTATGCCTCTTTAGTTTTGATTCTCTGAGGTATTGATTTTTGATTCCGATCTTGCTTTCTGCAGGTTTTGGCAAAATCTTCTAAAATGATTCCAGGTGCGGTGTCTATGTAGAGCGTCAAGATACCATTTAATTCTTTAAATATAACGGCCACCACAACTGTTAGAATTAAGAGTTCTCTGTTTATCTTATCTATGTTTTTTTTCTTCTTTGATGTAGTTATGCTTATGGGCGCTTTAGTTTATGGCATTAGATACACTTTACCTGAGTATCTTTGCACCTTTCTTGTTGCGGGAGGAGTCTCCATGTTTGCCCTTCTTAAGGTAAACATGTCTATAATCAGCAACATTGGTTATGTTTTTGTCTCGGAAACATACTAAGCTGTCTTTGAATGGTTTTAGACAAGCTCTAAGACCATCAGCAAGCTAGCACATCCAAATGCCCCTCTTGGTTACGGACTTTGCTTCTTGAACCTAGCCTTTGACGGTTTCACAAACGCCACCCAGGATTCCATTACCGCAAGGTATGGTTCTTGACATGATGTTAACTTTACCCAATCAGGAAATCAAGTTAAACGTCTCCGTACATTGATACAGGTACCCCAAAACCAACGCATGGGACATAATGCTGGGAATGAATCTATGGGGAACCATATACAACATGGTCTACATGTTTGGTTTGCCACACGGGAGCGGATTCGAAGCTGTTCAGTTCTGCAAGCAACACCCTGAAGCAGCATGGGACATTCTAATGTACTGTCTATGCGGCGCAGTGGGACAAAACTTCATCTTCTTGACAATAAGCAGATTCGGTTCCCTAGCTAACACGACCATTACCACAACCCGGAAGTTTGTAAGCATCGTGGTGTCCTCAGTTTTAAGCGGGAATCCACTATCTTCAAAACAATGGGGATGTGTGTCAATGGTGTTTGGTGGTTTGTCTTACCAAATTTACCTGAAGTGGAGGAAGCTGCAGAGAGTACAGAAGAAGAAGAAGACTTGATGCTGAGAATTCAAAATTTTGTTTTTTGATTTGAGAACTTTTTTACTTAAACATATAACACCAAGATGTCTGAAACGTAGAGAAAAGAAAAGCTTAGTCAGTCACATTAGCAATATGTAATAAACTTATATCAAGCCAAAATCAAAGCATGACTCCACTCATTATATGTCTTTGAAATACAATAATCTTAGGAGGAAACAAGTGTTTAACATTGTATTCTCTTGTTTCACAGCTGTGAGAGAACAACAACAGAGACAAACAGGTAACACTCTGAAAGACTTCTTTATATCATATGTTGATACTGAGAGATTATGTACAGAGATGATTGAAGAAAACAAATCAAGAAATCAGGGGAAATTTCTCAGATGATGTATCTGAGTATGCCCTTAAGAGACAAACCAAAGAATATTTTTTTCTTAGGACAGACTGGTGCCTTCCTTTGTGGATATGGCTTCCTTATGTTTAGTAAGAAAAGTAAAAGAAATCTGAATCTGAGTATATGGCAGATTCTTGAGAGCTTTCTTTGTTGGGGGTTAGAAATGTTACCGTTAACATTCTAGGAACCAACAAAGAAATATATAAATAAAAACCGTTGGAGGAAGGAATGCAGATTCATGGCATGCCCGCTTCACAAAAACTTCCAGGCCGATATGGCTGCAGACACCTAAACTGAAAACTAAAGCAAACTACGTCTCCATGGAGACAAAACCGCGGTTTAGGATGATGATGGGGTAGAGAGATTGTTGGTTGTTTCTACAAGCTATGTAGAAGGACTCTTTTGCAAGGAGGTGGTTGTGAAGTATTAGCACTTGGACATGGAGATGAGGACTCAATCCCAAGTGTTTTTAGCAGGAAGCTCCTCTCCTGCAAAAGCAATCAGTTTTGTAAGACTCAATGTTTGAACAAAGCCTAAGTATTCTTTGAAAGATGAGCAGGTGTGAAACTTACACTTTCAGAGAACTGTGGACTTGGGATGCCGTCTGCTAGAGACCTGAACAATGGCGTAACCTGAATAGGTGAGCTGAAGTTTTCTTCGACGCCCGAGATGGGCATATTCTCATCAGGGTTTTTAGGAACATCACAAGTTGAAAGAAACTCCTCTCCACCTTGTTTATGTTCTGTCTTAGTATCAGACAATGGTTGTGTTCTGTCACCAGACTGCTCCAGCATGATGGTTGATCCTGAACTATACTCAGAGCTAGCTGGTGACTCATGTAGATCAGGTTGCCTAAACAGAATCAAGATTAAAAGGTTATACAATCAAAACCTTTAGGATGAACACAAACATGAAAAGCTATATTCACCTCCAAGATGAGTCATTGTCTTCATAACTACTCCTTAAATCCCCTATAAGGTCTCTAAACTCCTCCAGCTGAAAATCAATGTCAGGTAATCCATATCTCAACAAATCATTTTCCTTGCCTTTATTCAGAAAATCCTGAAGGACCTGTAACATATATAACAAGAGCTTTGTTATTAGGAAGCTCAAGTATGTTGAGAAGGCTGTAGTTCTTGGTTTTACCTTCCAAGCATTCTCCATGCTTTGTTCTGTGTTGTCTGCATTAACTTTCTGCGCCAACGAAGTCAAAAGTTCAGCTTGTTGCATCAAAGCTGTGACTTTAGGATCATCCTTCTTAAGAAACATCCCTCCACCATCACTCTCCTTCACATTACTTGTTTGATACTGGTCTTCCAAGCTGTCAATACCAGTGGCATTGCGTGCCAACACCGATAATGGAGATCTTTCCTGCTGATTCAGAGTAAACTCAGCTTTTCCATAGTTACTCATCTCTGTAAGCTCTAGAATGTGACTTCTCCTGTATAGAGTAGCCAACAAGAACATGAATGTGTGAAAACACTTGTTGTTTACTAGATCAAAAGGAAACAAAACTTACCTTGTTCTCTTGGCAATAGGAGCTTCATTGTCAGCTTTTTGGGGTGTATTAATACCGTCTAAGAACAGCATTCTCTTGTTGTTTGAGTTGTTCTCGTTAGCCATAGCTTCATGCTTGGCTCTCTTCTTACAAAGTGTTGTAAACCTGTTCTTCACAGCATTATCCGTTCTACAACCACACAGAAATACAGAACATGAATGACATTAATGAGTCACTCTGGTCTTATGATGATGACTTCAAGCACCATTAGAGCTGTTTTTTTTACCTGCCTGAAACCACCTTTGCTATCTCAGTCCATCTATTCCCAAACACTCTTTGTGCCTAAACAATCAGACACAAGATAAGATCAGATATAAACCCAAAACACTAAATCTGAAATATTATCCATATATAATGAAGTTTAAAATGTGAAATCTACCTCACACAAAAGCATATCCTCTTCAGGAGACCAACCTCCTCTCTTGAAATCAGAGTTTAAGTATGTATACCACCTGCAAACAAAAGACCCATAGCCGTATTTAAAAAAAAAATGAAAAAACTCTTGTGTTTCTAACATTACAGAAAACATATTAGCTTAATCTTTTTTTTTAATATTAGCTTAATCTTTTTTCACCAACCTTCTTCTGCATTGTCTTGTGCTTTTATCCTTAAAATTTGATGCGATGATCGCCCAACTAATATCATCAAAAACACAATAGAAACGAAAACCAACATTCTTTTTTTTAAAACCCAAAAATTTACAGGGAAAATAAAAAAAAACAGAGGAGTCAAATGAAAAACAGAAAAGAAAAGAAAAGAAAAGTTCTCACTTTTCAGTTCCATGAAGAGTAATCTGGTCTCTTAGTATAACATCCTCCTGCAACTCCAGAAACCCACTTCAGGAAACAGAGCAAAAAAAAAAACAGAGAGATTCAGAACAGACATGTAATATTATATTTTATTCATCACACCTCTGGTGACCAAGTAACAATATGACGTTCCTTCTTCTTTGAATCTTCGTTATTAATATTCTTCTTCTTTTTCTTCTTCGTATCTTCCATTTTTTCTTCTTATTCTCTCTCTCTCTCTGTAAGTTTAGTGTTTTCTTCGACGCTCCGTTGCCTTTTTATAAAAATCCAAGTCCTCCCTCCTATTATCACACACCCACAAAGACTTTTTTTGCTTAGAAAAAAAAATATAAATAAAAAGAAAGAAAAAACAAAACCTAATGAAAGACAAACTCTGAAAAGGAACTCACTCAAAGACTCCTCGACTATATATATATCTGCTTTATTTATTTATTCATTCTCCACTGTGAGTCTGTGACTAAACTCCTCTGATGAGAAGTTTTTTACAGAGATGGGAGCTACTGCAAAATGAAAATGGCTTCTTTCGTATATATATAAGATTAAGAAAACAAAAATATCAAGACATGTAGTGTTTGAATATTTTTTAAAGTCATTCACGGTTCATGAACACATGGGTTTTACGTTTTTTATCAAATTCAAAATGCCAGTTAAAACAAAAAAATATTAAATTAAAAGAAGTCTTGGTTTAAAGATATTTAAAGAAAAGACTTAATAAAATAAAATAAAAAATGAAACCAACGGATCGGTGAGTAAGTGCGCGGGTATGAAGGGAAGTTTGAAAAAATGAACACTGAAACCCATGACCTTGTTCTCCATTAATGAATGCCTCTCCCCCTCTTCTCTAATTATGTTTCCTTGTCCCTCTTTTGATTATACTCCCTCTGTTTTAAAATAAGTGTCACTCTAAGCTCGTGCACACGGATTAAGGAAACAATTAATTTTACATATTTTCTATATAAAAACACAATTACCCATACACCTAACCATATTTCAACCAATAGAAAAATAAATTACATAATAAAATTAATAAATTTTGCCATGAAAACCGAAAACGACACTTATTTTGTGACGAAAATTTTTCTCTACAACGATACTTATTAAGAAACGGAGGGAGTACTGTTTAGTTTTTTTTTCTAATAAGTATTTAAAAGTTATAGGCAGCTATGCATTTTTGGATGTATAAACAAAGAAACACTTGCCATTATGTTACGGTAGTAGTGTCTAGAGTTTTGTGGAGAACATGATTGCTTTTATGGGTTTCCTACATTGAATTATGATGTTATGTGGCTCAATATGATTGATTTTAAACCATAGATGTTATCAAGATTATGTATACCAGTTGGTATTAGGAATGAGATTATTTGTTTCGAAAAAGTATGGTAACGTGACTAACGTCTTCTTAAAACAAAAAGAAAATGTATGATAACGTTTTAGTTCAAGTATGATTATGTGGAAAGTAATCTTTTAATTGTTTGAAGGACTTTACTCTAAGAGAAAATGACTAGAACAGATCTAAAAAGTTTTTATCACAAATATAAATATTAACAATTAAAATGATCAAAATAGTACTTAAATGTTTTATTAAATATACATTTATACCTTTGGGTTAACTAATCCTAATTTTTTTTGTTTAGAGTTAAGGAGTGAGGTTTTGGGATAGGGTTTTGAATTTAAAAAAATTAAAAAAAAAACTTAAAATTTTCAAAATAAAAATACTATTTTGGTTATTTTAATTTTTAAGGTCTATTTTTGTGATAAGAACTTAAAAGAGCGTTATTTGAGAGAATTACCCTTACTCTAATGCTCTCTCGTAAGTTTCATGAAATAAATACCAAAGTATTTGTTTATACTACATTTTATTATAGAAAAATAGATTCCAGTTACTAGAAGTAATATTTTTGACTATAGAAATTAGTCAAGTGAATAGTACCACAAAATGATAAATATATACTATAATATACAATTTTAGAATAGAGTTAGAGACTATATAACATGTAAAAAGAATATATATTGGATTTGGGAAAGAAAAATAAATCATGATCGAGATTGGCAACACGTCGTTGGTGTTTTGTTAAAAGAAGGGTACATGACAACTTACGTGACTCAACGGCCATTATTCGTTTGGATCGATTCTTATAATTTCAAATTTTTAAAAATTCAGAATTAGTTTATTTTTAATCTCAACGCATAAAAGGTCATGTACAATGAGCTGTTTCAATTTAATTTAGACCCCAAACAGAAGCGCCCACCAGTCACGACGAATGCAATTAATTTTGGTAACTACTTGCTACTCTCTAGTCTTTGGTCATTTAGTGTGTGTGTGTGTGTATAATTGAAATAAATAAATAATAATTGAAATAAATAAATAATAATTGAAATGATTATTCTTTGAAGTCGTCATTTGCTCCTGGATTTTTCATTTTATCTATTCTTTTGAGAAAGTAGCTTAGTTATAAACTTCTAATGAACATGTTTCATGATTTTATTAGTACATAAAGGAATTCGATTGTTGATAAAAAAAATCGATTATCACAGTTCACTAACTGTTCTAGTGGTACTTTAACGAAGATGATCTCTTACCAATTTTTCGAAAAAAACATTTTGAAACAGTATATTTAATGATTTATGAACTGTCGATCTGTTGCTAAAAAAAGAGAACTGTCGATCTTTAATTAGAAAATGAGATACAAGCAATACATTGGCGCGTGGTTCCTTGGATTTGTGTCAGACAGCGAAGCACTTCTGACATATCACATTTTATGAACAGTTGCTGTAAGAAAATTGTATATATTTTTCTTACTGTTGCTTAAATTCTTTTTTGTCCACACCCTTTGTGTATTTTATATTTGCATTTAATCGATTCTCTCAACTCTACAGTTTATGGTATGGCCAAAGTTTTTAGTCATCTGCTCAGTTTCTGTTTTGTATTTTACTTTAACTATTGCATGTAAACAACGTATGGTATCTACATACGAGACTTGAAGAAAAGACTTCTTAAAGAGTTTATCCAAAGTTAAACATTCTCTTTTGCTGTTAATGAAAAGCACTTTTAGAAGATTGATGTGGGTTTCTTTTGTCATAACAATTCAGACGTGTAATTATGATAAGCGGAGAGGTTTTTAGTTCAGTATATAGTAGTTTTTTTTTATAGTAGATTTTGGTAAGGGTTATGTTCTTTTTAATCTACCTAATGTATTTTTTGGTTTAAAATAGCTGAAAATATTGATAAATTAGGGCTCCTCGTCTTCCTTCCAAGGTGCCACTGTATAATTCATTCTGTAAGAAGTATAATATACATTTGCACCACATATATTTACATGTTTCTGTGCATGTATATGTACGAACGTACGTACGTACGCGTTGTATCATTCTTCGATCACCGGCCATGTAAACAGATCAACGTCTGAAGAATATATATAAATATTTCATTAGAATGAAATACATGAAAATTAACGTAACTATCTCAACGGGACCTATTTATACTAGTTAGTTGTTTTTAGACTTATTCTTAGGTTCACCCCCTAGGGTGAACCTATAGGTTCACCAACCAATAGGATGATGTTATTTCATATTTGATAAAAGGAAACAAAATCTTGTCAAATTATATTATTTTTTAAAAATAAAACTAGAACAAAATAAATAAGAATAATAATATTTACAAAAAACGAAAAAATCTTTAAAAATATATTTTAACATTATATTATGTTTTAAAATAAAAGATAAAATTAAAATAAAAACAGTAATAATTGCAAAAAATAATTTAAAACAAAAATCTTTTAATATATCTTTAAAATAAAAACATGTGTTTAAAAATAAAAGATAAAAATAAATAAAAAAAAACAGTATAATTGGTTAGTATTAATTTACCTAAGGGTTAAGATTTTTCCAAAGGGTTTATGATTTACCCAAGGGTTTAGGATCTAGGATTAGGGTTTAGGGTTTAGTATTAGGGTGTAGGATTAGGGTTTAGGGTTTAGGATTAGAGTTTAGGGTTTAGGATTAGGGTTTAGGTTTTAGTGTTTTAGTATTAAATATATTTTTTTAGTTTTTTCGTTTTTTAATATTTTTTTTCTATTTTTATTTTAAAACAGAATATATCTTAACAAGATTTTATTTCCTTTTAGAAAAGATATCAAATATAAAATAACATCATTCTATTGGTTGGTGAACCTAGAGATTCACCCTAAGAATAACTCTTGTTTTTAAATCACTGCATAGGACGTATATATTATTTATTATAGAATATGACTGAGTGAATGATGTATCATGTATTACAGAGACAAGTGCATATCAAGGAAAATTCTTAGGTCTAGATTTTAGTAACATAACAAAATCTTATCTTCATTCAGTTAGTTTAATTATCAAGTTACAAAACAAAAAAAGTCAAATGAAGTGTTGTTATAAACTTTTAATTATATTATATCCACATTTGTAGTATATATTTGGAGAAGTTACCGATTATCTAACGTCCCGGAGATAATCATTTCTGAGCTCGACGTCTATTTCCAGTACTTGCCTTATACTTTCACCTGCCTGCCTGCTCTGAAAAAAATAAAAGGTTGGTCGGATCAAGCAAATCACTTTGAATTTGGTCTTATTAATTTTATTAATTTACTTCAAGGTTTAATTTTTCTGTATTTTAATTTGGTCTTATTAATATTTTAATTTCTAGTTATTTTTTAATTTTCTAAATATTTATTTAGTTTTCCTAAAATTTTTGAAAAAAAATCTGAATGTTTATTTAATTTTATTAAAATTTCCAAAAAAATAGAAATAAAATTTTTGGATTTTTATTTTATTAATAAAATATTTATTTATAAAAAACTGACACATTATCTTTTTATCAGTACCACTAGTCATTTTTTACTTTGGAAACCTTTTATAATACAAATATCACTTTGAAAATTAAAAATATCAGTGAAAAAACTTCAAATTTTAAAGTGCCAGTAAGTGATACTTTGGTTGTTTTCATGTGATTTTCCCCTTTGAAAAATTTCTTAATTTAATTTTTATTCACAGGTAAGTGTTTTTCAACAAATAATATATTAATCTTAAATTATCAACCAAATGCATACACACTTTTAACTATGACATTCATTCATCTTGAAAATAACTTCACTCTAGTCCCTAGTGATTGACTGCTTCATCCTGTTAACTCCACTACTATGATAATGACTTAATATACATGCATC